AAAAAAAAAAAAAAAAAAAAAAAAAAAAAGAATAGAATTCACTATTTCTTGTGTATTTTTATGCTACCATTTTACGGTCACAGGGCAATCTTCGCTCGTAGCGCTTTCATTGCTATTGTAGATACGTATGCTTTTAAAGTCTTCGAATGTGACAGGTAATGACACATTGGCGATATCATAACTTGTCCAAAATTAACCGACTTGAGGTTATTTATGATTGATCTCACCATATTTCCACCAAATAAAAGAATAGATTTCAAGAAAAAAATCCTAGAGATTTATTTTTATGATAGTTTTATTAATAGTTTTTTATCATATTTTCGTTGAAATTTTTTTTAAATAATTCTTTTATCTTTTTTAATATTTTATTTTTATTTTTTTTAATTTTACTTTTTTATTTTACTTTAGTATTTTTTATTTATAAATATATATATAAATATATTATAAATCTTTTTTTATTTTATTTGCAATAAATTATTCTATCTTTATATGAAAAATAACAAATGATAGTTAATTAAATTTCTCAAATTATATTTGAGAAGGAATGGAATACTAATTGTGAAAGACGAACAATACGTATAATGCGTAAATGATGTTATTTACGGTAAGACAAATAACCTCTTCAAGCAATTAATTTTGAACAAGCTATAATGAGATAAATTTTGCTATTAAATGCTATTCCAAATCGAATCAAGGCAATCGTTAATCTTTAGATTGCTAAATGTGCAATCTAGAATAGAATATCTGTATTTCAGTCGAAACTTTAGTAAGAAGATATTTGAATATCGTAGTTCGAATTTAACGAAACGATTCGAATAAACATCACTAAATTAACAAGTTATTGATTAAACTGTTGACTAGATTTCATGTTAACATTTCGATTAAGGAATATTTCTTTTCGATTGATAAAATAATTTTAATTAATATAAAAATTATATTAATTTAATCATAATGCATAACATTAATTTAATTGCAATTTATTATATTTTTATACTGAAGTCATATCGCTGGATAAATTACTAACAATTACTACATATTTAGATTAATAGATGGCGCTAATTTTTGTTTCTCTTATTGCGCCCTCTTTTCTTTCTTCTTTTTTTTTTCGAGATCGTATCGCGATATATAATCATATGAGTTTGATCATTCAAAGTGTCTAATTCAAAAAAATAACTTAGAATATTTATTAATTTAATAATTTATATAAAAAAAATGTAAATAGTACTTTTTGTTCTTCTCATATAAATATAATTTAAACGGATAATTTAATTTCTATCTAGTTAACAGTCTAATGAGATTCAAAATTTATTTCTTCAATATGTTCAGACTCATTCATCAGCATACGTAATAATCGATACCAACCATATTAGCGATTATAGCAGTGAAAGGGTTAACGATATTAGATCTTATTAAAGTTTAACATAATCCAAACCGAGAATCAACAAAAAGATAAACAAAGCTACGAAAAGCAGGAAAAAAAGGAAAAGAAAGTGAAATAAAAAATGACAATGTAAATGCATTAATCATCATCTATCACTGTCTTTGTAATCGATTCATTCGTTTTTTTTCATCGATTATTCGAGACGTGTTTTTATTAATTTCCCGCGTGAACTCAGCTTTATCTCCACTTTGGAAACAAGGAATCAGTGGCCGCCCGTGATAAACCTATTAAATTGAATCGTTTTATTGTTATTCTTGTGCCCATAAATTCTTGTGTGTGCGTTACGAAGAAAAAAAAATATGTTAAAAAAGAAAAACTTTAAAAGAGACTAATTACATAAAAATTGTGAATTATAATCGGGAAAATGATCCATGTAAATCGTTCATATAGACCGTTAGCCAGAGGTAGATGGGTTCCCGAAAATCCACGCCTATTCTACGTAATTGCTGGAGCCACTTACGTGTACTTTCCAAGCTGGAGTACTATACAGATGGAATTGGTAGACAAGACATTACCGCACAGGAGTTTTAATTTCTCGAACATGCATCACGATATTGGATTGTTCAGGGTGACTATTATGTGTATATATAAACTCTATGTGGAAAATAAAATAAATAAAAGAGATAAAAAAAAGAGAGAAAAGGGAAGGGATATAATTGAAATTAATACGAAAGATCCTGAATACTATTTAATTTTTTTTCTTTCTATTTTATTTTCTTTTTGCGTCTATATTCGTGCAATGCTTTTTCTCGAATCGAATTTTGAAATATTGAAACTTCAATAAAAAATGTCACGAAAAAAGAAAGAAATCTGAATCTCTTGAAGATAAAATTTGAATCAATTGAAAATAGTTTATTTATTTATTTTATTCTATTTCTTTTTGATTTTAAAAATTTTTTTATATCACTTGTTTTATACGCAAATTTTATTTGAAAATTGAATTAAGAATAAAAAAGAAAGATTAGATAAATATTATTCAATCGATAGATATGTTAGGTTATGTTAGATTAAATTAATAAGTTTTTAATAAATAACATATACATAACAATCTTATGTAAATTTTAAAACAAAATTTTCACAACTCATGATAATGATTTATTAACAAATATATTAAGAAATAAAAAGATCTTTTTGTAAATTTTTGTAAAAGTTATCTTTCATTTTCACATTTGTTATTGCATTTCGATATAAATATTCTTTCACGAAAATAGAAGTAGGAATTAACAAAATTAAAATTAATCGATTTTTAATTTTATCTTCAAGTTTCTTTCTTATTTCTTATATTTATATGTAGTTTCAATTAGAAAATTAAACGAGAAATGAGTGAAAAATATAACACGACGAGAAAAAAAAAAATCAAGCAAAAAGCTTGAAATAAACGAAACATGGTCCCATCGATTTTCTCAATTATATTGTTCTGTTTATTTTTGCATTTAGCTCTCGCAACCCTTTTACATTAACTCGTACGTGAAATTCGTCACTCTACCTGCTGCCTATGACGCAAACATTTTCCAAACGTATCCCGATCCCTGTACTGCGGTTGGCTGGGGACGACACATTCCTGGATCCAATGTACGTAGTTAACCGCATCTAGTTATTTACTGTCATTCGCAAAAATTGTTCCATTGATTGACGAGAATAGAGGCAATCTGTTCGAGTTTGCGATTGTATAGGGCGTAGAAAATGAATGGCGTGATGCTTTCAATGTGATATAGATTACGTGAAAGAATACAGAATAAACTGTATATGGATAATATATGTATATATGTACAGAGAATTTTTAGAATTGGAGCGAATTAATAACTTTTGAGTACTTGAAATGTAATAATATTTTATTATTTTATTATTTCTATATTATTTTGTATTTTTTATATATTATATCTCTTTTCATATAATCTTTGTTTATTTGTTATATTATTTATCGTAGTAATTCTCGTAATATTATTTTCTTGTTAATATTAAAAAATTAATGAGCAATATAAAAAAGATGTATGTATGTATGTATAATTTATAAAAATTGTTTTTTTTGATCATTTCAATTATAAGAATAAATTTTGTTTAGAAAGGAATGGGTACTTATCTTCGTCATGTCCATATTCCGTTAATACCACATGAAAAATGTCCCGTTGAAGGAGTACATCCTAAGTATCACTTATGTGCAGGTGTGCTAAAAGGTGGAAAAGATGCATGTCAAGTTTGTATTGTAATTTATAATTAATTTTATTTTGTATTTAAATGTTATACTTATGATTAAAAAATATTATAGGGTGATAGTGGTGGTCCATTATTATGCAAAGGACTGCAAATTGGTATAATATCATGGGGTAAAAGTTGTGCTCGTCCTAATTCACCTGGTGTATATTGTCGATTAGATTTATATTTAGATTGGATAAATTCAACTATGAAAAGAAATAGTGCATTTCAAATTGCTTCTAACATTAATAGTATATTCGTTTTAATAATGCTTTTTATATTAGTTATAAGATAGATGATTGAATATATAATAAACTATATAAACAATAAAATAAAAGCAATATAAAAAAATATAAGAAATAAAAACGAAAATATTTTATTATCAAAATAATATTTATGTTATATAAATAATATCTGTAAATTTTATATTTTATATTTAAACTATGTTAATATCATTATTGTTGTTAATATTATTACTCTTTTCTGTATTATTATTATTAACATAAATTTTATTATAATTATCATACATTAATTAATAAAATTATTCTTAAAATTCAATTAAAAATATTTGAATTATGTTATTAATAATGTTTCTATTATATGTATTTAAATATATTTCTAAATAACTAAATTGCACAGAATATAAAAATTTTATATTAGAATATATAATTTCATGCGAAGTTATTTTAATATTTCCAAAAACAAAAATTTTCATGAAACATGAAATTTTATATGTTTATCTATGAAATATTTATTTGTTAAATATTTTATCTATTATAGCTATCATTTTTTTGAATTTTAAATCATTTTTTCAACAGTTTTTTTAATTTCAAAAATATTTACTTTTTATATATTTATCTTTTACAATATAAGATGCTTTTTTTTACAGTATTAAATATTTCAAAGATTTTATTATATTTTGATATTATTAATTTTTTTGTAATTATGCATAAAAAATTTAAATATGTATATATTTTCAAATTTTTAAATTTAATGTTTTTCATAATATTTATAATATACTTTTGTGTTAATCAGATATCGGAGTCATCTCTTGAGTACATAAATTTTGTAAAACAAGTTATAAACAAAAAGAAAAAATAATAAAAGGATAAAAATAAGGTAAAAATTAGGAAGTCAACGCCATCTCTAGAGTCTTGCAAATGAAACATATATAGACAAGGAAAGTAAATAGCAATGAAAAAAATAAAAATAAGGTAAGAATTGATTATTAACGCCATCTTTTGAATACTATAAAAACAACTTTAAATTTACATTTAAAATTTAATAAATGCTAATTTTTTTAAAAATATTCAAGAGATGTTAATTCTTATTCTATTTCTATCTTTTTCTATTTTTTTTTGTGAATTTTATTCGCGCTCTAAAAATTTCTTAATTTTTATTCTATTCTTTTTCCATTATTATTCTCTTATTATTTATTTCTTTGTTTATATTTGCTCCGTAAAACATAATAATTCTTATATTATATATTTGATTAATAATTAAAAATTTATTAAAAAAAAAAAATAAAAATAAAGAAAGCTTGTAATTCTTACATGATTTTTATAATAAAATTTTCATGAAATCATCTTTTGTTGTCTATATAAATATTAATATTTTTTTAACTATACATTAAAACCTAATATCTAAACTATCTAAATAACTTTAGATTTAATAGCATTATATTTAAATACAATTTTATTTAAAAATGTCTCATAAATAGATATTATTTTCATTATTATGTTATAATAAAAAATACTAGTACTAAAACTATTTTTAGCTTAATTTTTAATTCATAATTAATTCAACTTATACATAAGTCTACTATCATGTATAGTAGTTAAAAAATTTATGAATACAATTATATGAAGCATATAGGAATATTTATTAAAAAATATATATTTTTAAAATCTATTCACTTTATCAACTTTTATGAATGAATTCAATATAATTTTTACATTTCAAATCATAAAAATATTAAACATTCTGACTGTAATAGAAATTTCATTTTAAATATGTATTAGTTGATTGGTCTATTTTGCACTTAATCTATAGTCTATAATAGTTTTCTCACGTGATCAACTTTCAATGTAGATATAAATATAAATTCTTATTATTTGTAATTTATTTTTTTCAAAATGAGTGTAAAAGATAATTTTAACGTTTATGTTGGTGGAAAATCTGGAATTTTTAAAGGTAAAATATTATTATTAATGTTATATTAATATTATTTTTTACTTAGGTTAGTTTAATAAAGTACTATATAACAATTAACCATAAAATATTTTTTCTGTTATATTTTTAATAATTTAATAATAATCATTTATCCATTTTGTTGATAGGTGTAAAAATAGAAAAAGAAGAATATTTAATAGAAAACATACAAAATTTGATTTCTATAACGGATAATGATGAAGTTACATCAATGTCTTGGGGCGATGATGATGAAAGAGAAATTTTAATTGGCTGTGGAGTAAAAGATATTAGAAGGTTATATATAATAAATAATTTATTAACTATATATAACTAGAAAAATTATAATTTTTTTTTTGTAGTGTAAAAGTTTATGACTCAGGATGTTCAACATTTACATGTTCTTTTTTTTGCAATATTGGAACAGGAAAAATAACTGGCATATCTCGATATGATGAGTAAGTAATATTTCAAATAAATGTTTCTGAAATAGTATATCACTTAATTTTAATATAATATTTTATCCACAGAGCAATTCTAACTGCTGTTAAATCAGGAGAAGTAAAATTATGGAGATTTAAAGAAGAAGATGGATTTATAATAAAAGCTGGTGAAAATTTAGATAAAATGCGTCATTCAAAAATAAATAAACATATAATAGCAACTGGAGGTCAAGAACATGAATTAAAATTATTTGATATAGAAAGAAAAAATCGAATATTTCTAGAAAAAAATGTAACTCATGATTGGTTACAATTAAGAGTTCCTATTTGGATTTCTGACATAGATTTTCTTCCTCATACAGAACAAATTGTTACTGTTGGTAGATATGGACATGTAAGATCCTGATTAATACACAATTCCATTATGCAATTAGTTAAGTATATATATTTTATATAAAAAAAATTTTTTAAGGTACGTTTGTATGATCCAAAAGTGCAAAGAAGACCAATTATAAATATAGAAATGAAAGATGAAATATTAACGACTTTAAGTGTAGTACCACAACAGAAGTATATATGAAATGCATGTAAAAAATATAATAATCTTTCTTTTAATGTGAATATAAAATGTTTTCATTTAATTGCAGACAAATTATAGTAGGTACTGGTAAAGGTAAAATGAATCTTGTGGATCTAAGAAAACCAGCTAAAGTATTAAATACATATAAAGGATTTGTTGGAGGTGTAACTGGAATAGCTTGTAGTACAGTTGAACCTTATATTATTAGTGTTAGTTTAGATAGATATTTACGAATACACCATATTAATACAAAACAATTATTAAAAAAGGTACAATTTATTTTAATATCAAAAAAATAATGTATTAAAATGTAATTCAATATATAATTTTATTCTTTATTGCAGATATATTTAACATCAAAAATATCATGTATGGTATTACGTTCAGATTTCTCATTTTCAAAGGATAATGAAATTAATGAACAAAGTACACAAAAGTATAATAAAAATATTGAGAATTTTGAAGTAAAAAAACAAGAAAATATACAAACCAATTTAGAGTATTCAGATTCAGAATACGATATGTTATTTGAAAAAATGCAAGTAATTAGTAACACAGAAGATAAAAAATTAATTGAAAAAAAACGAAAAAAGATTAATAAAAAAGGTTTATCAGATAATACAATTGTAAGTATGTGTATTTGTTTATTTTTTTTTTATTTATTAAAGACATGAATTAACGAAAATAAATTTTTTTTTTATTTTTCAATATATAGATCTCTCATAAATCTGAACTAAAGAGAAAAGAAAAGGCAGAAAAATTTTCCAAGATAAAAAAGATAAAAACATTAAAATCAACATAATTATAAGTAAAAAAAAATATTGATAATTATCAATATTTCATGTAAATGATCATTTAGATCTCCTATAACAAAGAAAACTTTCGTATATTTTTATATGTATATCTGTTTTTATAAATGATAAAAAATGTTATTTATATTAAATAAGAAATTTAAAATAAATTTCACAATATTTAAGAGAAGGAAGAAGTAGAAAAGGAAGGCATAGAAATCATTACAAACACTGAAGTAAAATGTTTCATTTACGATGTATTTTGTCACTCAGCAATTCGTTTCTTTTTTTTCATTTGTACCTTACATGTACAAGGGACATGAATAATGCGCTAATAGCTTTTGCCCTGGATATACAGTACTGAGACGCGACTAAATGTACTGCCTAATTACTCGATTAATTCTTTATTGTACAATTTATTCTTAATACCTTGTCTATATATTGTTTTGGTTCACGAATGCAGCGTACACCGACTTCAATGACTTTTAATCACTAATAACGTTTATTTTCTGTTAACATTATATTAACTTGTGCCTTTGTTTGCAATAATTATATTGAAATCGGTTGCGCTGCAATATAGGCTACTGTAGATCTTTTTACGTCTAAAAACTAGAAAAAGTGAACGTGACAACTTGTAAAGTTGAAACGTATTTTGTACTAAAAGGAAACAATATATTCGCAGCTACAGCACACTAAACCTTATTCGGCTATAATCCTTTCAGCTGTACAAAAATCATTGTCCACTACGCCTCTTGTTAATTAATACTAACGTAAATTTTCTTTATCCTGACTCCGTTCTTTGAAATGGAATATTTATTCTTATCCCCATAAATGTAATCTAGGAATAATTTTACTAAATTACAGGCACTGTCCCCTTCAAAATTCAAATAGGTGATATTCATCCATATTTCTATAAACAAAATGGAACTTTGTGTCAAAAAGGCAAATATATCCCTGACACAGAGGCCATTTATATATACAAATTTTCGCATAGATGTAACATTCCAAGATCTGTATAATTTATAATTCCATCTCTTTTTTCGTGTAATAAGCGTAGAATGAAATCTGTTTCAAAATGAAACAGTTTTCAGCTTAATAAATCGTTTGTACAGGAATGCTTTCTGCCATTCATTTTATAATTTCTTATTTAATCATATATCATATAATCAATGTTGAAAATCAGTGAAAATCATATTTTACATAATTTTTAAATATAATTCAACATTGGTGCTTGTTTAATAATTTATACGTGATATTATTATTTTTATAAATATTTATAAGGATTGATTTTTTTCAGTTTTTAAAATAATTTCTTTTAATTAATTATAATTTGACTACAAATGAAAATTATGAAAATTAGCAATAATATAAAATGTAATTACAAAATTTTTCATCCACTATATTCTTCATGATATCAATTATATTTTCGTCAATAATAACATAGAGAATTTAGTCAAAAATTATATAAAAATTTTAACATTTGTTTATATTTCCATTTTTTTTCTCAAATGAAAATTTATGAATAATTTATTTATAAAAATTTCTTGTAAAACAAATACAAACATAGGAATATTTAAAAGAAATACTACTAAATAAAATTATATGTACACACAAATCTAAAATCAACTTGACGTATTCGTAATTATTAATTATACATTTTGAAAGTACGAAACTTGAAGAATGTGCTGCAAATATTGTTATATACGTAAAACATTAATTAAAACAATTAGTATAACAATGGCAGCGCATATTAAGTGTAGAATTGTTATCATTCATTTTTATAGGCCCTTTAATACTTAATAATGTATTTTTGTCTTGTAAATGTTACTTTTTAAAAAAGATACATGAAATAATAATCTATAAATTCAACAATAGATAATAATTTGATTTTATATAAGTATTGCTTTCCTGTACTGAAATATTTCATGAAGCTGATATAGAAGTTACATAATAATACAATTAATTTCGAATATTTTTTTCTATTATATATATTTTATTGTTATTCATTGTATGCATACTACTTCCATTTTTTTGCTATATCAGAGTCAGCTGTTAATGCAAAATCAAAAGCACCATGTTTTTTCCTTTTTTTTATTTTTTTGTAAAATATCACATGCTGTGCAATTGTTTAAAACAAAATCGTTTATTATGCACATCAGTTTCTAGTATTCAGACATCTAACGTGATAATTCACGGACAAGAAGCTACTTTTTTTTTATAGATAAGCATACAGGATATACATATTTAGATATTTGCTTAACACTATAGTATTTCGTTCCTGTCAGGAAAAGCGTGGAAGGCCTCTGTAAAAACGAGGTCCATATTTATGAATTATGGAGCACTCTTTGATATAGGGCTACTTTATCATGTCGTCTGGACATTTTTCTACACTATTTGATGTAAATAAAGTAAATTATCTCATAATTTTTGATCTGAAATAAAATACAAAGATTTCAATATAAGAAGGAGCATAGCAATATTATAAATCTAAAGGATGCAAGAAACCACTATTTTAAAAGTTCTATTGAAACATTCCCAGTATACGATTGAAGAAAGGGTGTATAGAATATTATACCCTGAGTAAATAATGGCGTAGCAATCGTTCCTGGCAAAAAGCTCGAACGTCTATGCTGAGTAGCATTTGTACCATAAAAAATTAAGCTTATCAATTATTATATATATATATAGAGCATCGCATTGTCGTTTGTCGCGTCCAGTAAAATTCATTTCGTTATTCTCACATTCAATGCGATTTCATTATTTCAAATAACAATTAATTTTGTGACGTAAATTAATTTAACGAGCAAAAAACATTTCGCATTTTACGTAAGTTCTTAAGCTTTGAACACACAAGCATCAAGAACAAACGAAAAATAAACTTAGTCGAACATTGCTTATTACTCTATAAAGTTCAATTTTAAAGTAAGTTGATTCACATTATATCATGCTTGATAGCATATTAAGATTACATTGCCTCAATCTCCTCCCGATACGGTTACTTCTCTCCATGCTGATTCTTGAGATTGATTTACTAAAGTTGACTGAGGTTCAGAAATATCTGATGCTACAGGACTCAGCGGTGGACTAGGTGTTGCAGGTGCTTCTTCAGATTGGTTCACTTCAGCTGTATCTTGTTCAGCTTCTGTTTCACCATCAGGAATTGAAGCTTCTGATTGCACAGAACTTGGAGCTTTTGACATAGAATCCTGTGCTCTTAACGATATAGAACTATCTTTATTGCTACTGCCATCTTCACCTAAATATGATATTTATTTATTGTTTCTTATGTACTTTTATTTTAAAAATGTATAAATTAAAATATATTCTTACCACAAGGCCTAAGAACGAGGTAGAAGAGTAAGTCAGATAGAGAAATTATACCGATTACTTTATCATCATCATCAACCACTACTAACCTATGAACCTGCAATATTTTTATATATTTATTTATTCGTTGTATGTATAAAATTAATTGTATATAATAGCCAATATATATTTACATATAATTATATCAAATTATTATGAAAAATAATCAATAAAAAATATATTATAAAAAAAATAACTAATAAAGTTTATATATATTATATTTATATATTTATAAAAAAATAATATATATAAATAATAACTATAATATAAAAAATAAAAATTATACCTCTGCTCTAACAATTCTCTCCATAATAGTAAATAAGGTTTCATCTAATTTACAACTTTGAACTCCTTCAAACCATTCATTGCGGTGCTCATTTGCTTCTCTCAATGATACATCTAAATTGTTATATGTTTTTTCTGCAGCTAAGTTCTATAAAAATATAAATTTAAAATATTGATTTGATTGAATAAAAATTGATTTCATTAAGAATCAAAATGTAATTAAGATTTATAAAATCTACTTACAATAACATCAAATTTTGAATATATATTAACCAATTTTCCTTCAGTATCAATAATTGGTAATGCAGAAACTCTCCTTTCAACAAATTTTTTTAATGCTAAAATTATGCTAGTTTCTTCTGTTGCTGTTTCTATATTTTCAAATGTACCTATCCTCAATTCTCTCAATGTTTTATTTGTGAAAGATGGTTTTGGTAACTCATGTATCTATTATTATAATATAATATATTAATATATTAGTGTATTAAATATTGCATTTTTCTTATTATTATCTCATACTTACATAAAGGAAGAGGAACCTAAGAATTCGTTTGTGTGTCAAGATATAGAGAACATTTCCAGTATCTGGATCTATCACAGGCAAACGATGAATTCTATTTTGAATTAGAGTTTTAATAGCTTCATACAAAGATGCATCTGGACCAATGCTCACTAATGGATGAACTTGATCTTTTAACACTTCTAAAATATTAAAATTGACCAATTATATTATTTTGATACTTATTAAATATATTAAATATTATTATATCTAAAATTTTTAAGATTTTATTAAAGAAAAATATTTACTTCTCCATGTATCTAATTCATGTTCTTCTAATTCATCCATTGTTACAGATGGACTAGTATAGTACATCTGCAAGATTTTTATAAAATCTGTTATTGTTAGCATTCCAATAAATTCTTGTCTTGCACTGTCCCATAATGGTGCAGCTCTCACACCTGAAAATAAAATTAAACATAAATTTTTTTTTATATTATTGAAATTAATAGTAATTGAAATTGATAGTCAATGAAATAAAATAATAGCATTAAAATATATTACAATTAAATTAAATTTTAACTTACCATTATAAACGAGAGCAAAGAAGGCCTTTTTAACGAGGAGATGCGTATCGAAAACGACCAATTTGGCACTGGTCGGTATTAGGTCATAACATTTGTGAAATTTAAAGAACTTCACGAAAATCTGTGATTCGTCCTCCTCTGAAAGTCCAAACAGTTGACAGTAGAGTAATGCTTTCTGGTTGCGACGAAGCATCTTTTTTTATACGATGTCACAATGTTGTTACAATTAATATTTTTCAAATCACTTTCAAGTTTTATTATTACAGCAAATTATTTAGTATTATTCTTAATCTATATAACAACAAATTGATGCTTGTCATTTTTAAAAATACTTTAATTTTGATAAAATTGATAGTCTACCTGTTAACCGCGTTTTTGATTATATTATGATAGGTTATGATGACGAAATTCAGTACTGAACAGCACAGCGCTATCTCTTCAAATATTATAATAAATATTTTAATAAAAATTCATTGTTAAAATAAAATTTATAAAAATATATAAGAATAATAGAAAAAATATAAGATAAAAAATATAAAATAAGAAAATTGCGTCGTACGTAAAATGTACACAAATCAATAAACATGTACTGAATATTACGTTTTAATATCACGAATAAAATGTGAAACACTTTCTTTCATTTTTATCGTTTCATTCATTTTCAAAGAGCAAATAATAATTTTTTGGAAACAATATATGTTTTAGAAATAAACACAAACGAAATAGATACGAGAAAAAAAAAGAAGAAAAAGAGAAAAGAATGAAAGAAGTAAAACTCTACAAACGCAAGTATACTCGATAAAAGAGAACACAGCAGGAAGAAAAAAAAAGGATAAAAAATGATGAGATGTATAAAAAAACAATCACGAAACTGGAAATAACTGGAGCATCCATGTCAACAGAATAAAGTGTTGTTCAGTTATAGCGATGAGTTAAAATGGATCTGTACCAGATAAATCGAGAAAAATTCTAATTAAATTCGAACCATTCGAATTGCATCTATTCTTTAAGAATTTCATCTAAGAATTTTTCTCTGGCATAATAATTTCTTTATCTTGTGAAAATGAATATGCAACTATATAAAAAAATTTTAAATTAAAATTATTTTTTATATAATACAATATCAATCAATCAAATCAAATGTCTAATGCATAATTGTTTTTTTTGTATTGTTGCCTTATTATATTTAATATAATTCTTTCATTAGGTTATTTATGAATTATTTCTAAATGAATTATCTAATATAGAATCTAATTGATCTAATAATCTTTTTAATCTTGTTTTAAATATATTATATATAATGTATTATATATTATGTTGTTAAATTGTGGATAATGATATAATATAAAGAGAAGTACAAATTGGAATTCATCATTTAAGATTTCATCATTTTATCCTTTCATCTCATTAATTATTGAAGTAATAAATAGAATCAGATATTCAACGCAAGACACTTATATCATGCTTAAGAATTCAAATAATTTTCAGGAAGATGAGAATTCATTGAAAGCCTGTTCAGAATGCTAAAGCTATATTTTATATTTATTTTCTTATATTTTAAGAATACAATTTTAATACTGTTAGAAAAATATAAAATCTAATATATAGATGTGATGTATACATACATATTTATAAGCAATTAAGATAGTTGATTGATTCACTGGTGCATAAAAAAATATATATATAAGTAATATCTTAGAATTACATATATAAAAAATATCAAGCAATAATATGCTTATTAATAGTTATGTATCGTAATAAACACAATGTTAAGCGAAGAACGAAGAATTCAAGTTACGCATAAATGAGTCATATTTAAAAAAGAAAAATTAATCATTATTTCACGATAAAACTTTCAAGGTTGTTTTTTAAAATATCACAAAACGATTAAGTTATAAATAAAATTTCAAACAATAATTCTATAAATTTTTTAAACCGATTGGATAATTATTATTATAAATAAAATTCGTTTGAAAATTTTAAAATAATAAAAAATTGTTTTCAATAAAATATTAAAAATTATTGATTATATTTATTTTTTAATTTATCAATTATATATATTATAAATTTATTAAAGAATAAAAAATAGATTTTTATAATAAATAAAAAAAGAAATTTTAAATCGCGTATAAACAAAAGAGAAAATAATTTCTTTCTAATTTAAGATTAATTTCTTTTTAGGTAATTAAACAAATATATATATCACATCGATTACAAAACAATATTTCAAATGTATAAAGAATAAAAGCCATTCGATTGACAAATGGAAAAGAAATGAAAAACAATGAATCCATTGAATCGTTCAAAAATTGATCAAAAACTATTGTAGTTACATAACCTGACAACTAGCAGTAAAAAAAAAAAGAAACGGTGACACGCGGTTTACGTAATTTTTATGTGAAATCTAGTCATCCATATTCCTTCATACTATGTGCTATTTCATAACGAATCATTCTCACAATCAACCTTGCGATTCAATTTTTACGATTTTTCTTAGCACCGTAAGTCAATCTCATTAGATTTTACTATATTGAAAAGGAATGTTATGCTGGAATTCTCGGTTTTGCCTTTCCTATACAAATGTCATCCAATTACCGACTGGAAATGCAATATCCCAATCCTGCTTCCGTATCACTGACAGGAAAAGAAGCTAAAGCGACGACAGTGACTCGAATCGGATTATTGGAAAGTTACAAAAATGTTACGTAGAATAATTAATTAAATGGAAATTTAGTTTAAATATAACCTAAATCTTAGAAAAATAAATACATTTATATTTACGACAGTTGTTTTTAATCTATGTAAGTATGAAGCATTGAAACCGAATTAAATAAAAATTTGGTTTAAATCTAACCTAAATCTTAGAAAAATAAATACATTTATGTTTACGATAATTGTGGTTGTTTTTAATTTATGTAAGTATGAAGCATTAAAACCGATCTATATAGATTCAAAGTTATATAATTTTCATTATTAATTAGTTTTTCATTATTATTGATCATTAAGTTAACTAAATCAAAAATAAATTAGATACTATTAAATTTATTATAATCGTAAATATTCTTCGAAATTTTATATTTTCATGCAACTTTGAATCACGAAGAATTTTCATACTTGTTCTATTAAATCATTCAGTTTAAAATAGATATACGGACATATGTATGAATAATCATGAAACATTCATTAATATTTTCTACTGCAAAAATCTACTGATCGCTTGCTGTATGTATAATTACTTGCTAGAATCAGATCATTAATCTAAATATTTATCATTAAGTTCATTACAACTTATATATATTGTAATATATATTATATAAAAAATAGAATTAAAATAATATAATTTTTCCATTCAAAATAAAATCAAAATTTGACAAAAAAAAACAATAGCATATTTTTAATAATAATAAATACAACAAATTCGAAATAATTTTAATTGCTTCTAATGTCAAATCTATAGAGAATTAAAAATTAAGCAAGCTGAAAAAATATCAATGAAGCTAATCCGTGAACCATAAATATATAATCAACTTTATACGTAAAAATCAATTAAAATCTTTACCAAATTTTTTGACATTTTAATTATAGCAAATTCAATATTTCTTAATAAAACTACTAATATTCTCTTTATTAATAACTTTTGCAATATACCGATAAATAAAAATAAATTAAATTTTTGTCAAACGAACTTTCTACATGTAACATATGAATGTAGCAACGTTAGAAAAAATGTACAGTAAATTTAAGACACTGATATAACCGAACTTAGGTTATAAACACACTAACGAAACAAATAAATTTCGTGAACCATATTGAACTAAATGGACACATTCAGAAAGTTAGAGAAATATCCACTACACTGACTTCTGTACACTGCTTTCAAAGATCATGAAGCTACTGACCACTGAACAGTTTGTGCACTTAGGTTTGTTCGTCGACAAGCATATTGCGAACATACTTAATTGAGATAGCGATAGTGAATCGACTCAGAACTACTCAGGGCAATACTACTACGGTTTTAATGTATTATTCTAATTTAATAAAATAATTTTTCACAAACATTAATGATTATAAATTTTAAAATAAGATGTGTATTGCTCTTTAGATTTATTTTTCAATTAATTTTTGGTCTAATTGAACGTAGTAAATTAGATTAGAATATAAATTTTAAAATAAGATATATATTCCTTTTTAAATTTATTTTCAGATTAATTTTTGGTCTAACTGAATTAGATAAGAATATAAATTTTAAAATAAAATATATATTGCTCTTTAGATTTAATTTCAGATTAATTTTTGATCTAATTGAATGTAGTAAATTAGGTTAGATGTATGCAAGAGAGTATATTGCTAAATTTAATTATAGATGAATTTGCGTTATAATTATAAGTAACTTAGAATCTATGCGCAGAAAATCTATATACAAACAATTAAATTGAGCTGACTTTTTTCTAGATTATTCTTGATTATAAGAAATCAATGATTTTATTTAAAAGATTTGATATTTTTATAATTACTTGAAAAACATGTTATTAAAATGAAATTAATATGAATATTGAAACTGAATCTATATAAAAATTTCAAATTATTCATACAGAGAGTAATTTTATTTTTAATAATTGTCAATAATTTTTGAATTTCCCATTAAGATTACAAAAATTTTTCTATGAATATAAAAATACTAATACCAATAATAATTAATATAATCTTTCATATCTATACATTGTAGGTAAAATCAATCATTAATTTTTTTAAATTCTGAATCATCCTGTATATATTTGATACAGACTCGTTACTTCTTATCTATTGCCAACGTTAAAAGATATCGATTCGTACACACATATATAAGTTATACTGAGAGATCGTTAACCTAAACACATGAGAATATAAATCGACGACCCTGAAATGTTATGTTCAATTGCACTTTGTTCTTAAAATGGAATCACGTTGGTTCGACGGCCTGAACGCATCACTTTCCGGTTTTTCGTTTTGCGCTCTCCAACATAACCTACAAAAGTCTCAATGGTAATTGTGTCACGGTTATTACGTCGATTCTCCGGCCAGGAAATTGACGTAATTCGAAGTTACCCTCGACGTTAAAATGATTTGCATGGGATCCCATTACGTTTTAATGGAATGAC